CAGCACTCACACACAAACACTTTCCTATAAATTTTCCAATAAACCAAAAAAAACACGAAATAGTTTACCATAGTACCAGAAATAAAGAACTACGAGAATATGGAACGAAAGAATTTAAAAACAACAAAGAAAACTTAAAAATTTCATTTACATTTATTCTCGATTCATTGGTTTGTTGTGTGATAATGATAGTGTCCGAAAAAGAAATTAATGTGTATGTGTGAGTGTGTCAAAGAATTTCGATATTCGTTAAAAGCTTCACTTAAGTTATCCTGTGTTTCTCTTTTAATTAAAAACAAATAAGAAATGAACATTTGTTTATTATAAAAATAATTTGGGCTATAGAAAACTATACACGCTATTACAGGTCGTAGCTTTCTAAAGAAAACAAAGTTTTTTCTATAGAAAAAATCACAGGACCACAGGTCCAAGTTTTTGCTATAGAAAACAATTCGTAATACCAAAGGTACAAGTTTTTTTTCTAGAGAAAAAAATTCTACGCCCAAAGGTCCAAGTTTTTTCTTTAGAAACAAAATTCGTAGGGCTATAGGTTTAAGTTTTTTCTCCAGAATAAAAATTCGTAGGACCACAGATCCAAGTTTTTCTATAGAAAAAAATTCATAGGACCACAGGTCCAGATTTTTTTCAATAGAAAAAAAATTCATAGGACCACAGGTCCAAGTTTTTGCTATAGAAAATAATTCGTAATACCAAAGGTACAAGTTTTTTTTTATAGAAAAAAATTCTAGGCCCAAAGGTCCAAGTTTTTTCTCCAGAATAAAAATTCGTAGGACCACAGATCCAAGTTTTTCTATAGAAAAAAATTCATAGGACCACAGGTCCAGTTTTTTTTTCAATAGAAAAAAAATTCATAGGACCACAGGTCCAAGTTTTTTCTATAGAAAAAATTCGTAGGACCACAGATCCAAGTTTTTCTTATAGAAAAAAAATTAGTAGGACCGCAGGTCCAAGTTTTTTTTATAGAAAACCAGTAAGGAAAGTAGTAAAATCGGACGGGGCCGACTATGTTGTATCCTTCACCACTTTGGGTATATTCAAAAGATGAATCCTAACAGACGTCGCATTTTTAAAGGACCAGTAAAATGAAATTGGATCAATAAACATGTCATTCTGCAACCGACACTGAATTTTAAGACATTAAGGGACTTTGGTACACCATTTACCTTAAATCGGACGAAAATATATATGGGAGCTATATCTAAATCTGAACCGATTTTGAAGAAACTTAACACACATCATTCTAGACCTAATTCATTACGCTGTGCCAAATTTCGTTCAAATCGAACAATATTAAGGGACATTGGTGCACCATTTACATTAAATCGCACAAAAATATATATGGCAGCTATATCTAAATCTGAACCGATTTTGAGGAAACTTAACACATATCATTCTATACCTAATTCATTACGCTGTTCCAAATTTCGTGCCATTCGAGAGATATATAGGGGCTTTGGTGCACCATTTACATTAAATCGGTCGAAAATATATATGGGAGCTATATCTAAATCTGAACCCAATTTTTTCCCAATTTCAATAGGGTTCGTCCTTGAACCAAATAAGTGACCTATGCCAAATTTCATCCAAATCGAATTATAAATGCGACCTGTACTTTGTTCACAAAAATACATGGACGGACGGGCGGACATGCGTTAATCGATTCAGAAAGTGATTCTAGGCATTTTCTCAAAAGGAGCCATGTGTCCATCTCGTTTCCTTTTGCCTATTACAAAAATATGTACAAAGACATAATATCCTGTACCACAGTGTGGTACAGGGTAAAAAATTCGTAGGATCACAGGTCCAAGTTTTTTCTATAAAAAAATCGTACGATCATAGGTCGAATTATTTCTGTAAAAAATGCACTCGACCAGAAACAAATTTTTCTTTCTATTGAAAAAATAGTTACGACAAAATGTTCAGCTATCTCGGGATGAAAATTAACCAATTTCTAAACAATTTCATTAACATTAAATAAAATTTTACTGCACTTTAATATCATTGTCTTATATTCTATTCTTCACCCCTTCCACACAGCTACTAATAACAATCTAATTCACACTTTCTACCACTAAAGGAGTTAAATGTCCCTAGCTGATGGTATCGCAAAATATCGTCCTATTCATAAAATCATTAAGAGCATTAAAGAAATTTGAATAAGGCTTTTGTTACCTTAAAAGTATCATTGTCACTGATAGCTCTTTCTTCTTTCCCCATGCCCCTTTCACTGCTAAATATTCAACAAATTAAAGTCCCATAATTCAAGTTTTATGTTCGACGTTCCATTGTTGGGTGTCTATACAATAAAATTCCCTCCTCCTCCGTCGCCACCGTTCTCCAGTTTGCCATTAAAATCGCTAAACAGAAAAAAGGCTTCACACCTGTTTTTTGTTTGGAATATCACTTGGCGCCCTAACTGTCATTCAAATAATTTTCTAATGAAATCCTTTTGGCAGTAAGCCCTTTTTAATATCCTTCGTTTATTGTACACACGCTCACACAAAAGCCACTAAGGATACACAAAATACAATGAGAGAAGAAACAAACTTGAAATACCTTTGAGTAGAGTTTTAAGTGATTTTTCATCACCATCTATAATGTCGTCCTTGTCAACAATTGTTGTAAAATTTCAAAAAAACGAAAGACTCATTTGACGCGATAAGGACTGACTGGGTGATGGAACAAAAGAATTCCGTATCTGTATTAACAACAACAAAAAAGGCTTATCATTCAATTGCCATCAATAAAAGACAATTATTTCTTTATTTTGCATTAACAATTTTATCGGCAATAGAGGTGAGTGTTTATAGAGAGGTCTATTTACAAAGGGAAGTAAATTGTGTTAGAAAAAACATTACATTGTGTGTAAGACGGTTTAAAATCATCGATGTTAAAATTGTAGACACTGATCTCCCTGCGGTGTAACCATAAGACCACTGCCTTGGGCATGCCTGCTAGGAGATTTAAATGCAAAAATCGGAAGGGAAAATATTTTTAGTTCCACCGTCAGAAAATTCAGCATCCATGGAAAAACGTCCGACAACGGCATGAGGTTGATTGACTTCGCGGCAGCAAAAAACATGGTAGTTAGCAGCACCATATTCAAACATCTCGACATACACAAAGCCACATAGATTCCTCCTGAACAGGCAACGAGAAATCAAATTGATCATGGCAAATTGCCCACTCCCTAGAAACTGCAGCAAAAGCAACACTTGGGTACCAAAAACCACCATCAAGAAACCCATGGTACAATCAGGAGTGCCGTAAAGCTACTGATGCGAAAAACGCTGCATATAGGGCAACACTGCAGACAGTAGCAACACGTAATGCGATGGAAAATTATCGGCAGAAAAGGAGAGAGGGGAAACGTATTTTCAGAAAAAAGAAGAAAGAACAAGAAAAACGTGAGCGTGAGCAAATCGACATGTACAGGAGTCAGAATGAAGTCCGGGAATTTAGCAATGACTAAAACACCAAACCGAAGGCTTTGGTACAGGCACATCCTCCTGTAGAGATGAAGAAGGGAACTTGGTGACAGATACAGATGGCGTACTGAGGGTCTGGAATGATCATTTTGAAAAGCTTCTGGTATGAATTGGCGGTGAGGAAGATACTCCAGAACCTATAAGAGATGACGGTATATAGTATACACAACCCAGCCAAGATGAGGTTAGAATAGCAATCCATCGGCTGAAGAGTAATAAAGCAGCAGGTGCCGATGGGTTACCCGCAAACCTATTCAAGACTAGTGGTCAGATGCTGGTAAGGATCATGCACCAGCTGATTAGTACAATTTCGCTAGAGGAATGCATGCCCAATGATTGAAACCTCAGCATCCTGTGTTCCGTGTACAAAAAAGGAGAAAGGACGATATGTGTCAACTATAGAGGAACAAATCTCCTTCTCATCGCCTATAAAGTGCTATCCAGCGTGCTGTGTGAACGACTGAAGACAATGGTCAATGTCATTATTGGAACATACCAATGGGTTCCAGATGTGGCAAACCCATCATTGACCAGCTTTCACTCTGCGTCAAATTCTGGAAAAAATCCACGAAAACTCACATCGACACATTTCACTTATTCGTCAGCCCTATCCGTTCAGAGGTTTTTAAAGCCATGTCTGCATTCGACATTCCTGCAAAATTGATACGGCTATGCGATATCTTTAAGTGGCACAAGGTCAGCAGTTAAAGTAGGAAAGGTCCTTCAATTTCGAACGAGAATCCAGACAAGGGGTGTGGTTTTTTTAACACCCTGCCGGAAATGGTCGCACGAGACGCAAAGGTGAACAGAAATGACACTCTGTACACCGAACAGCACATATTACTCGCCGGTAACAGCCACCTTTGAACGAATTTAGAAGGAATCTGCCAGTGGGTTTGACAGTAAATGGCGAGAAGACCAAGCTGATGGTATCAACGCGTCCAGTAGACTAGGACCAACCGTGGAACTTGAAAACTACAGCTTCGAGGTAGTTAACGATTTTTTATACATTGGTACCGCCATAAATAAAACTAAGGACATCAGTTTTGAAATTCGGAGAAGGATAGTGTTGGCTAACAGATGCTATTATGGTCTATGTAGCAGTTTAGAAACAACAAGGCCACCTCCCCCCAGACCAATCTCACAATTTACAAGACGCTGATACTACCCGTGTTGTTATATGGATCTGAAGCATTGGTGCGCACAAGACCGACGCGCTTGGAAATCTTTTTTAATCTTATAGAACGGTTGTTCCATAAGATTAAGCCAGACAAGCGAGCTAAGTAAGTATTTAAAAAAATATGTACTTTATTAAGACTAATCATAGTAACAAGTATTTTCAATTACAAATCGAAATGAACATTGTTGGCATATTTGTTTTATATTTTTTCTTCAGTAAAAATGTCAATTACAATTTTATTTTAAAAAATAAGTTCCAATCAATCAGAACAACTATTATATTTCTTACATATTTTATAAAATATATCCTTGATGGCGGCTAAAAAGTTATCCCCAGTCACTTTAGCAGATTTAGTTAAACGTGTTCCCAAAGATCAAATGAAGCAATTTGAAAAATTTCGAGATAAAACCATAGAATATCATAGGTAAGCATCAAAGAAATAAATTCCAAAACATTATCCCCATTTCTCGCAATCCCTTGCAGACGTGTAAGTAAATATCCCGATAAATTACCACGAATCGATTGGGAATATTATCGCAATAATGTTCGAAAAGACTATGCAAAAATGATTGTGGAATTTCAATGTGAATATGAAGAACTCGCTCGGACATTTAGTGCCCGTCATGAAATAAATGATTTCGCCAAATACTATGAAGAATTGGATAAGATGACCGAACAAGTTAAGAAAGAAATTGCCGCATTTGTAAAATCTTCAAATGAACGCATAAAACAATATGAATCTGAAATGAAACGTCTACAGAATTTGACGCCATATAACGAAATGACTATGGAACAATTTGTTGTCGATCGTGAAGATTTAGCGGAGTTTATACCACGTCAGGGTAGTCCATTATTTTGGCCACATACCCCTGAGGAACAACGTGTTGGGCCAGCTAATCCTGATTATGATAAGAAACATCATCAGGAGGAAAAATCTGCATCGCCGGAAACTAATAACACGGATGTCATTGTTTCGTGAACTCTTTACTTTATATATTTTCTGTATGTATGTTTTAATATATTTTCTTGTTCTATTTTATTAATTCCTCCTTCCTTGCAATTCCACATTCCTCGAAATTTTTTAAAAATTGTATATTTTTAATGCAATAATTTTTGTAGCGAAAATTTTACAAATGCCCATAAACGTGAATAGATTCTCAGATTTTTTAATCTTCGCTTAATATTTCTATAACTTCACCATTACTAATAGACGCACTGTGGGCGAAATGGACGATCTAGCGTCGTTTAATTCAATTTTCAAAGTGTTTAATTGGGCCAAAATTGTGTCTCTATCGATTACTACTATCCCACTGATCTAATATATCGATTCTATTCTGATTGATATGATCTAGTTGAACAGCTGTGAGCTGTCAAACACAACATATGTTTCAGCCTATGTTAACTAACTCATCTGCTTGAAAAAATCCAAAGTAAAGACTTCCGTAGACCGGAACTTCTGATATTCGTGTGTATTCGCGCTAGAATATGGTTTTTTAAATTACTATGTCGATTTGTGATTGTAAAATGTCCAAATGATCTGCAGCCACCTGCAACTTTACATGATATTGCATTTTTTAGGAAAAATGTCGATGCTCAGACGAGAAGTTTATTTACTATGGCGCAACGAGCCTGTGCGTACTAAAAAAATTCTGTCATTGAAACTCATATATTTAATAATATTATTAATATCAACATGTGCGATGCTAATAAAGTTCTTCTAATAAACAAAAAAATAGAAAATTTGTAGCAAAATTGGCTGAGAAATGGAAATTCGACCATAGAAGCCGTTACAAATTTGAAGAAAACAACAAGGAGTGGTTAGACGGATAACTTTTATTAGTTAATCCACTGACTAATCGTGGAACACCCGATAAGAAGTTTGACGAATGTTCCAACAAAACGAAACTAAAATGTTATCCAAATGGAGTCCAATTTACGAACTATTCAGCTCAAGTGCCTTTACAAGATATGGTAGATCATATTGTTACGCGCCTTGAAGAAGCTCATTTTTCTATCAGAATTTAATGTTGCTGAACGGAGTGAGCAGAATCTCATTTCTTGCGGGCTCAAAATCGATATTGAATCTTTTATGGAATATGCTTTACAGAACGCAGAACTTTTTATCATACTTTATCCTTGGTTTTATATGCCGTGTTCCATACATAAAATCTTAATACATGGAGCCGATATGCCTCAGTTGGCCCTTGAAAAATATTCTTTAATAAATCCACGCCTCAGTTGGCCCTTGAAAAATATTCTTTAATAAATCCACGCCTCAGTTGGCCCTTGAAAAATATTCTTTAATAAATCCACGCCTCAAGTTGGCCCTTGAAAAATATTCTTTAATAAATCCACGCCTCAGTTGGCCCTTGAAAAATATTCTTTAATAAATCCACGCCTCAGTTGGCCCTTGAAAAATATTCTTTAATAAATCCACGCCTCAGTTGGCCCTTGAAAAATATTCTTTAATAAATCCACGCCTCAGTTGGCCCTTGAAAAATATTCTTTAATAAATCCACGCCTCAGTTGGCCCTTGAAAAATATTCTTTAATAAATCCACGCCTCAGTTGGCCCTTGAAAAATATTCTTTAATAAATCCACGCCTCAGTTGGCCCTTGAAAAATATTCTTTAATAAATCCACGCCTCAGTTGGCCCTTGAAAAATATTCTTTAATAAATCCACGCCTCAGTTGGCCCTTGAAAAATATTCTTTAATAAATCCACGCCTCAGTTGGCCCTTGAAAAATATTCTTTAATAAATCCACGCCTCAGTTGGCCCTTGAAAAATATTCTTTAATAAATCCACGCCTCAGTTGGCCCTTGAAAAATATTCTTTAATAAATCCACGCCTCAGTTGGCCCTTGAAAAATATTCTTTAATAAATCCACGCCTCAAGTTGGCCCTTGAACTCCTTTGTGCTCCAATTACATAAAATTGGACGAAACTTTATATGGGAGCTATATCTAAATCTAAACCGATATCAACAAAACTTGGCATACATCAATCTGAGCCTAATTCAGTACTCTGTGCAATCCGACAAATATTGGCAGTATGGTGCTCCATTTACATAAATTGGCATACATCAATCTGGGCCTAATTAATATTGGGAGTTTGATGTACCATTTACCTAAAATCGGACAATGTGAGCTATATCTCAATCTGAACCGATTTTCACCAATTTCAAAAGGGTTCGTTCTTGGACCAAATAAGTGAAGTTTTCCCTTCACTTTGTTCACAAAAATACATGGACGGACGGATATGCGGAAATCGACTCAGAAAATGATTCTATGTATATGTTCAAAAGGAACCATGGGTCCATCTCAATTCCTTTTTATACCCTTCACCACACTGTGGTAAAGGATAGTATGTCTTTGTGCATATGTTTGTAACAGGCAAAAGGAAACGAGATAGACACATGATTCCTTTTGAGAATATGCATAGAATCACTTTCTGAGTCGATTTACGCATGTCCGTCCGTCCGTCTGTAGATGTTAAATTGTAAACAAAGTACAGGTCGCGTTTATGATCCGATTTGGATGAAATTTGGCACAAGTCACTTATTTGGCCCAAGGACGAATCCTATTGATATTGGGAAAAATCGGTTCAGATTTAGATATAGCTCCCATATATATATTCGTCTGATTTAAGGTAAATGGTCCTTCTATATCTTTCGATTTGCATGAAATTTGGCATGGAGTACTGAATTAGGTGCAGAAGGATGTGTGTCAAGTTTCGGAAAAATCGGTTCTGGTTTCGATATAGCTCCCACATATACATATATATATCCGTCCGATTTTACATAAATGGTGCACCAACCTTCTACTGTTTGTCCGATTAACACGATTTGTGCACAACGTATCAATTTGAAACTTGAATAACGAAATTGATGTAGATGCTGTCATAGCTCCCATATGTATTTCGAATGGATGTGTGAATGAAATTAAAATTTTAACAGTGCGGCGACCGAATAGCCTGTATTAATTTTGCTGTAAGTCGTTTTTCATAAATTTGTCCCATGGTACGAAGTCAACTTTAAATCTGCCCGAATGAAATTAAATTTATCATAGGTTGCAGAAAGACTTGCGTATTTTTCATATGAACAATATACCCAAAGTGGTGAAGGGGGATCCGACTTTACTGCTTTCCTTACCGGTTTCTGTTACAATCATATGCACCAAAGTGGTGAAGGGTATCATATAGTCGGCCCAGTCCGACTTTACTGCTTTCCTTACCGGTTTCTGTTACAATCATATGCACAAAGACATAATACCCTGTACATCAGTGTGGTGAAAGGTATACAAAATCCACTGTCTCGCAGAAAAATATTTAAAAAATTCCACGTTTAATGATAGTCTCCGAAAAATATTATAAAAATCCACGCTAAAAATCAACAAAATGGCGGACCATTGAAAAAAATATATTTGGAAAATCGCCAATTTTTTACCACAAACCAAGTTAAAAAATAAGGAAACGTCCCAAATTTTGGAATCGATCGGATTATTAGTTTTTGAATTATCGTGCCCGCCAATTACAAAAACGCTGTTTGGCGTCACTTGATGCTAGCACAATAAAGCGGCTATATCTTCAAGAGTTGTTGTGATTTTCACTTGAAATTTCATGAGGTGAATTTATGTAATGTAATGTAAACCGTGAAAGGAGGGCGGGGGTCCCTTTTATGATATTCCCTTCGATAAAGATTTTTTAAAAATCGACGCTCATAAAAAATTTTTAAAGTCCGCGCTAAAATACCTAAAACACCCGAAGTATAGACAATCAAAATATATATTTTTAAATATCCACGGCTATCTGATTTTGTATACCTTCCACCATAGTATGGACGGTATATTAATTTTCTTTTTCCGTTTGTAACTCATCGAAATAATCATGTTCGACCATATGGGGTTCTTGAGCGCGTTTTTCAACCGTTTTTCACTGAAATTTGGTACATTGGGTTCTTATTGGATACTAAATGTCTCCACAAAAATTATAAATATAGGTCCACTTTTTCTGGTAGCCCCCATATAACGGTACCTCCTAATTTTCAGTATTTTAAGGGTTTTGATCGCATTTTTCCGCCGAATTAGCTGTAATTTAGTATTTTGAGTTTTTAATAGGTACCAAATCTCTCCACAAAAAATTATGAATATAGGTTCATTTTTTTCGGATAGCCCCCATACAATGGTACCCCCAATTTTCGGTATTTTGGGGTTCTTGAGCGCGTTTTTCAACCGAATTTGCTGCAATTTGGTATTTTTGTAGTCGTATAAGGTAACAAATCTCCCTACCAAAAATAATTTATATTCGCCCCGTTTTTGGGGTAGTCCCCATATAACGCCCTTTTTATATTAAAATAGTTATCTAATTTGTTGTCCGTTTTGGGTTTGGTTCTAAGAGTCTGTCGTTTCCAAAGAAGCATGGGGTCTAGAATCAATATGTTCCCTATATTTTCATTTCTAGTACCTGTCAGTATATCTATGGTGGAGGGTATCCAAAGTTCGGCCCGGCCGAACTTAACGCTTTTTTACTTGTTTTTATTTTTTAAATTCACACTAAAATATTGATGTTCAATAAAATTGTATTGAAAATCCAGGAAAGTTCTTCTAAAAATGTTTGAAAAGTCCTAACGAAACCTATTTTTAAAAATTCTACCTTGAGAATAGAACTCCAAAAACAATTTTCAAAATACAAGCTTCAGAACAGTCTCTTCAAAAAAAAAATATTTTTAAAATCTACGCTCATAAAAGAATGTATTTTGTGCAATATATATTTGCATAAATTCAATTTTTATTTTCTGTTTTACTCTCACATTTTTCCCATATTTCTCTCAATCTCCATCCTAACATGTCCTTGTTATTAAAAATGAATGGGTGATTGTACTTTAATGTGTACATTTGTCTGTAGACTTTGTTGAATGACTGTCTGTCTGCCTTTCGATATAACACATGTGTATTGCACATTCTTGTAGAAGGGTAGAAAAAT